GATATATATATATTTGATTCTAATATGTTGTGTTTAATTTGCTTTAGATATATTGTATTTGATATTGAATATACAGGATGAAATTGTTTTTGGATACACAAATACATGAAATTAATATTGGAAACACATATACATGAAATTGTGGAATTCAGATACATAGTAGGAAAGGGAAAAGAGAGGGAAAGAGGCGAGCACGAGAGGAGAAAGACGAGTGAGAAATTGGTATTCCAAATACATGAGAATCTCGATTTGTTTACCATGCATTTAAAATGAACTATACCTAATTTGACTCGCTTATATCTAAGCCTTCATATATATGTAACCGTAACAATTAATTGACAAAAAATGTAATTTTAGAAACTATTGTTTCAACGAGTATTTAGCACTAATAAGAGTGTGATTTGCGTTATTTTTTTCTCCTTTTGTTAGCAATATTGAAAAATTTGATATACAATAATATACGCTCAACATACAATATGTGTAAAAGCCCAAGATAATCTTTTATCTTTGAGTTAAGTCTCAAAATTATTTTTGTGTTTTTACTTGGAACACAAATAATTTCTTATGTTTGCAATATTAGTGCATTTTTTGTCATCCTTCAAACTATTGTCCATAATTTTATACATGAAATGTTCAATCGTTTTTTTAAATATATATTTACTAGAAATAATGACTCTATGTGAGAAAAAGGTGGGAAAAAGAACACTTTATTTTATTTAGTATAAATATTATTGCAGCTAAACTAAAAATTTACTTTTGATTGTCGGACTATATCAATTTACTGTTGACATATAATGTTGTAAATCATTCACCAGTTCAAGAGGTATATTATGTATAACTACTAGACAATATTAACAAGTAATATTATGTTAGAGAACTGCTTTGGAACAAATTTTCAATGGCTTCCACATTATCTTGATTTCGATATATGAAGTGTCAAAATATGGTGGATAAATATTCTATTTTCTCTTTGATGATATCTTTTTGTACTCCAAATACTCTGATATGAGTAATGCTTTTGAAGGAGTGTTTGGCTAAAAACATCCCTTAAATATATTTTAAATTTAAACAACATTCTCTTACTATCACAGTGAGCAAAAAATTAACTATCCTAAAGATGGCCAGATTCACCCTTCCATTTTTTTTCTTGATAGCAACTAACGGTTAAACTAATTTCCTTTCATGTAAATGAAGCTAGAATTAAGTATGGATAAACATGTGACGTTTTAAACATATTAAAGTTGCAATTCTTCTCATGTCAATATGATGAAAAATACATAGTAAAATATTTATAAAAGGGAAAATACATAAATTCCCCCTCAAACTTGTCCCCAAAACTTATTTTAGCACTGTAACTTTACGTGTATTTAAATACCCCCTTAAACAACTTACAAGTGAATTAAATATGACCTTAGAGGCTGACATGACAAATAAAAAATTTATAAGCGCGTAAATAGCATAAAAAATGAAAAGGGAAGTTTCAGCAACCTGTACCAGCTCTCTGTTAGGGTTTTGCCCTGATTTTCTTACCATAATTTAAGATCTATTTTTCCTTAAAGAAAAACAAAACATTACCATAAATGTTTTTACTTTTTTTGAAAGGAAAATATAATATTATTTTATATTTGGTTTATTCTTTCCTTTTAGGACTCCTTTTCTAGTATGAAATGTTTTAGGACTCTATAAATATAGGTTTGTTTCTTCTAACCCAACAACAATAACATCCACAATGTAGTCGTTTAAGAGTCTTGTTTATGAGGAAATTTATTCTCTCTAAAGTTTCAATGTTTTTTCTTTATATTAGTTTTGATATAATAATATTTTGATTTTTAGTATAAGTTTTTCTTATCTGATTTATCAACCATATGATTTGCAAATTGTAAGCTTCCGCATGACGCCCTAATCACCTTTCATAATCCAACACTCTCTTTGTTTCCACCGCTGGCGGTCACTTCCGAGAGAACATTTCTCGAATCAACAAACTCAACCACGCCAGACCTCACCCCAACCCCTTTGTACTTCGTTCATCACCGTTTAAAGCTCTTGCGAGAGATCAGCCGTCGTGAGACCACCAAATCTCACTAAGAAATTTCACCACGCCGGCAACCATGGAAAAATCGTCGGCCATACCCTTTTCCTGGCTTTCCTCCATTCTTCCCTTTATTTGTTTTCATTTTTTTGCTTTTCAGGCGAGCCATCAGATCTGTCGGTTTTGAGCCTAATATAACAACAATAACTTCGGCGATTGTCGTTGAAGCAGTTGCTGGCTGTCCTTAGAGCAACCATGGTTGTTAAACTTTAGCTTTCAAAAAACTTGCAAATAAAAATATGGAAAAATAGTAAGTTACACAACAAAAAATGAAATTGAAAATAAACATTCCTAAGAGTATGAGCAAGAGTAGCACCAACAAACCCAGCTCCAACGATGATGATAATTTTTCAAAGTTGTCGTTGAAGCACTTGCCGACTTATCGTCATTTTCACTGTTTCGCACAATGTTCGTCAAATTATTAAAAATTACATTGTGGGTGTTGGAGTTTTGCAAAGGGTAACAATTACTTTTGTATTGTATTGATTATTGAAATAATGAAGAACATGGAACAATGAAGAAGATGAGTAAACAGTGAAAATGAGAACAAAAAATGACGTGGAAAAAGAAAAAAGAAAAGAAATGAAATTTGTTCACAATATGACGTGTTATCAATGTGTCATTGAGGTGGCGCTTATGTGGCGCGTGTGTACATCACCTTCCAATTATGAAACTGGTATTGTATGTATAAGGTGATACTTAATTCACTTGACAGTTGTTTAAGGGGTATTTAAACACCCGTAAAGTTATGATGCTATAGTGAGTTTTACGAACAAGTTTAAGGGGGATTTGATGTATTTTCTCTTTATAAAAATTTCACATAGTTTGAATCTTAAGAAGCTAAAAGCGTCACATAAATGGAACAAAACGAATATTTTTTTTTACGTAATATCTAAATATGTTATTTTTATCTTTTTAAAAATACAGTAACTAGTGTTTATAAAATTTACACCAAAAATAAAATTAAAATAGACTACCTTCATACTTCAAATTCCCTCATTGTCTAGGAAATAAAGAGAAAATTATACATTTTTTTCTTATAATATACTGTTGCTTATGTGATCAGTAATTATATAGGGCGAAAAATAATTTACTCGAAATATTTTACTCACTTTTTATGGAACATCCTGACTGCTATTGTGAAGGTGAGGATGAAAACCTCTCTTCCTAGCTCATCCTGTTTAGTTAGAATTGTCTATTACTACTATAAGCTAAGATAAGAATTGAAGCAAACAAAATGGGGGACTTGTGGGTTGATCAACTGTTAGTTTTTTGTTTTTGTCAAAAACTAATTGAAGGATGAATCTTGCCATTTTTAAGACAATTGAGGAATGTTTTTTTGTTCATTGTGATAGTGCAAAGATGTGGTTTAAACATAGAGTATAGTTGAGGATTAATGTTGGTGACCAAAAACTCCTTTTGAAGCTTTGAAATACAAACACATAAGTATAAAAACATGTTAACCGTTTTTAACTACAAAGTCAATCACACTAATATGATATTTCAAATCGATAAGACAATCCCTTTGAATATCAAAGAGACAGTTGAGAATATGTGCAAGAGGATTTGTCCAATGTTTACAATACTAAATTGCATGCTAACTTATGATCTTTAGCTATTATTTCTTTATGTTATTATCAACATTTATCAAATGAATATACACATAACGACATGCATTTCATAATTATTCCTTTCCACATGATCAATGTAAAATCTTTTAAGTTTTTATTTGTACTTTTTTGTTGCATTTGAAATTATTAGTATGAATTTGTAGTGAAAATTTTCATATTCCTTTCCACATGATCTATGTAAAATCTTTAAGTTTTTATTTAAACTTTTTTTATTGCATTTGAAATTTATTAGTATGAATTTGTAGCTAAAATCATTTGAAAAACTGAATATTTAAAACGGCCTCAAAGAGGAATAATTAAATCTCACATGTTTTTCTTGATAGAAGTTGAGTCATTAGCTCTTTGGGATCTCTCTTCTGCAATTCTTGAAATTTATCTCCCATAGGTGAATGTTTTTATCATTTTGTGGTCATTCTGTTTGTTTACCTTCTTTTTGAAAGTTTACTCTAGGTTTGTTCCTTCTAACTTAATCAGCATTCACAATGTAGTTCTAGGAGTTTTGAGAATTTTGGTTAGAGGGAAAATTTGTGGGTTACAAGTGATACGTTATCACTTGTATGAACTTCCTTGTATTCCGAGTGAATTGGTTGATGTTATTTCTCTCTATATTTTATATTCTCATATTAATATAGTGTATTTCTCATTTCCTTTGTGGACGTAGGTCAATTGACCGAACCACATTAAATCTTTGTGTCTTTTGGTATATTTCTCGCTTGTCTTGTTACTCATGGTCTTTTGAGGTTTGCTTTGATAGCTTTCACATTATTTTCGGATCTAACAACAATAGCCCATCAATGCAGCATCTCCTCCATGCGACCGCATCAATGTCGCAACTCCGATCCAAGCAGAGAATCCCCTCCCAAAACAATCCACTTAATTAGTTAGATTAGTGTAATTCCTTAATTGGTTGAATTATGGTAGCTTCTTGTACTCCTTGATTTCATATTAATTTACTCACTTATGGATTCAAATAGCTTAGGCGTTCTGATTAAATTCATTTGGGAAATATTGATAACCAGTCCAATGTTGCCCATAAATTCATTATCAAATGTCCTTTTCACATATACAAACATTAAGTGTAACAAAAATAGACATATATATATAGTAGACAATTAATGGTATTGTATTGTATATCATATAGAAATGAAATGGTGCAAAACAAAATAAGAGTAATAAGCCAAATCCTTTTTCTCAGTCTTTTACTGTAAGTATATATATAATAGTAATAGCAATAAAGATCAACAATTTCAATATATATATATAAAAGGACAAAAAAACCAAACAGAAATAATATGACATATTTAGAAGAAAAGCCTTTTCTTACATGCTAAAAAGGGTAAAGAACGATAGGAAATTAGTAGATTCATTTCTTTGAGGAACTCTTCAATTAAGTCCCTGCAAATTTGATCTTGTAAGATTAGCCCTATTCTCCCAGCCTCTCTCTTTTCTCCCCATTCACTCTCATTCCACACTTCCTCTACACTTTGAATCATGCCTTTGCTACATGACTTTGGCTTCACGTGAAATAATGGTGCATTATTTGTAAATTTATCAATTGGTTCATATGCTTCTAGCCTCTTGATCCTTTGTTGTGTAATATGCCCTTCAAAAACAAAGATATAATATTTAAAACATAAAATATCTAGTTTTACGGAGAGATCATGCGTTCACGTGCACCATAGTTTATGTATACTAAATTCACCCTTTTTGTCCCAATGTAATATATAATTTTGTCTAAGGTGTCCAATGCACCCAGTTTTTAAAAGCTTGCAAGCCTCAAAGCATGTCAGTCGATCTTGGACCACTCTCATCAGCAGACACATGGTTAATTAGTGGCACTACATACAAACACCCCACTTGGGACTCAGCGCTTTGCAAAGATTTGCCCGCCATCGTACTAAGGGAGTCCCATCAACTCTGGTATCATATTTGTCACAACCCAAACATATGTCAAAGTATTGGATTTTGCTAACAAACATACAGATTTATCCATAGGGTTTTACCATCATGAGTCCAAAATCGCATGTACCATGCATGCATGTAAACTTTTTCTTTCCCTTTTCGATATGAGATTTGTCTAAAATTTCATATGCATATCTTATTCAAAAGTTTATCCATAAAAAATCCTCCCAATTCTTCACCTCGACCCCTCAACCCCAATCAAGTCCGTCATATACATCTTCAGTATCTTCGTTAAGATTTTCTCTCCCATCATATCTCAAAAGAACTTACTTGTGCATGTATTTCTTCAAAGATTATACTATTCTTAACCACCCTTAGTCCGTCTACCTTCACCCTTGCCTTAATCCATCAACAATACGATACAATAAAATTTATCAAATAACATTTCTCCGTACGTAGTCTAGTAGCGGAATACAACGATCCATGTCTCAAAGAGTAGTTATTAAATCCCTAATCTCATCTTATCATAAAGCATGTTATTATATTGATAAAAACATGAAGAAGAAAAAAAGTGTGTAGACAGTGCAGAGTGGACCTATAAGACTTTTGCTTTTACTTTCACTTTCATATTTTTGGGTAGAATGTCTTTTTCATATTTTCACTTTTTCATCATTTTCTGACCAAATCATGACTAATTATTATTAATATTATTATGTGGAGGCATACAAATGAAGCTTTTGGCAAAAGATTCCATGGATAGATCTAGAGACCGTTACCAAAAGATAATTAATTTTTTGTTTTCTTGGTTAATTCTTTGGTAAGTAAGATACAATTAAATAATACTAATATATGTCATTTAATTTAACTTTAATTTACATTTATGATCTTTAACTTTGAGGGTATATAGTAAACACTTAAATTTATATAAAATTGAACAAATAGACGCACATCGCATTTAAGTGTCTACTTGTTCACGCCCAAAGTTGGAGATCATAAATATGAAATAAAATCAAGTTAAATGACACATTTATGTATCATGTCTTAAATAATTGAACAAAGTTTTCAATAATATATAATAATAAAACAATCGTTAGTTTAACTTTTCTTTTCTTTTTTCTAGTGAAAGTTTCCTTTGAATGCCAAAAGTAATAGTACTAGTAATGATGAAAATGGTCCATGCTCGTCCTCATATCATTATTCATTCCGTTACTTTAGCACTTTAAGATCTACGCCAACGTTAAACATGATAGCAATTAATTGTCTCTACTTTAAAAGTAAATTAAAGAGTTTCTTATTAAAAGTACGTAATTTTATCATCAGTTCTTACATTCCAAACATTTAAGAATTGATTATAAAAAGAATACTTACCATGCATATCAATCGCTTAGGTGGTTATTTGCTTTTACGTAAAATAATTTATACTATATATTTTATTTATAGTCTCTTTTTTTTAAATGTCTAAGGTGAGAAAACTCGTTTTTCACTTTAAAAAAAAAAAGGAATACTCATTTTTTCGGGGGTATATTAAAATTTTCACTTTAGGTACCAATGTATATTTTGAACATATTTATAACATGAAGATAACGTCATGCATTAGAAATCGAGAAAATGTAAAATTAGGCTAAAAATTAGGGGTGGACATAAATACTGAAAAATAAAAAAACTGAATCGAATCGAATCGAACTGAACTAATTCGGTTCTTCGGTTTTTCGGTTCGGTGTTTTTTTCTCCAGAAGTTCAGTTCTTCAGTTCGGTGTTCGGTGTAAGGGTCTCAAAACTTCGGTGCACCGAAAAACCGAACTTTTATTTAAAAAAATTAAACTTGTTTTATTTTATATATATATATATGGGCATTCTCTTAATTAAAAATTAAAAATTCAATCAACAATTAAATCATTCATGAGCAAATAAAAGTAACACCAAATGTACAATTCAATAGTTAACTTGAAATATTAATTTTCAAGAGAAACTCAAACATATTTCTACCAATATACATTATGTAAAGGAACCATCTTCATACTTGTTTTCTCGATAAATTGTTGGAGGCACAATGTTTTTGAGAAAAACAAATATAGTCTTTTAGTTAGCACAATAAGTGTTCCACGGTAATACTCATCATTCCTTAATATAGTTTTAAATTTCTAAGTATCTTATACTTTATCCTTATTTTATTTTCATTCACACCGAAAAATCAATTTTAAAAACACCGAACTAAATCGAACCGAAGTAGAAAAAACCGAACCGAATTAGTTTGGTTTAATATACGGTGCACACTTTCTAAAATCAAAAATTGAAAAACCAAATCAAAATTTGATAAAATCGAACCAAATAACCGAACGTCCACCCCTACTAAAAACTAACTCAGAAAGAAGAGTATTATCTCAAATTTATAAAGAAATCACTCATCTTATTTTTTTACTCAATACTGGGTGAGATGAGTGCTGCAGCGACATGGACCTAACTAACACTCCCAAAACTAGTTGAAAGGAAGAAGAATTGCCTAAATCTGAACATTTATATCATTAACCACCAATATGAGATTTTTGTCAATTCGAGTATGCCAAAGAAATAAAACAGAGACAAAATTATTGTAAAAGAAGTAAAAAATGGAAGAAGAAAACTGACCATTATGATTATGTTTAGGTTTGGCGATTTTGTTGCACAATGTTAATGGAGTCTGCGGCTTCACTGCATCGCCAATTTGCTTATCCCTTTTCAGCGAGTTTAGAATCTGGCGAATAGACTCTAAATCGTCATTGCACTTGCCCAAGTCTTCTAGAAGCTTCCTTCTCTTTACCTCTTCTGTACTCGACTTCCTATTAGGGCTCGGAAGGCACTTTATTTCCTCCAGCCCCATTAGCCGTGCCACTAACGCTACTGGCCGCTCCTTTTTATCTGCTTCGATTTTTGGTACCTTTGCCTCATCATTTTTTTCATTTTCCCCAATTACTACTACTACTAATTTACCTTGCTTTCTAATTCCAGAAGTAATGCGTTTCGTCTTTTTTTGGTATTTGGAAATTAGTTGAATAATGCCTGACATGCAACCAGTAGACTTCACAACATGCTGATTTTCTCCACCCGGCGGTGTCCTTTGCCGGCGAGCTGATGCCACTAATGAATCTTGCCTCTTTAGCATTATCTCGCCTTCTTTCTTCTTCTTCTTCTGTATGAGAGATCTAAGAATATGTTTTTTTTTTAGAATAACAGAAATGATGAAAGGAATTCTACAAGGCGTGTGTTGTGCTTTAAAGGGTAGTGAAAGAAGCATGGCTTAAGTTTTCTTCTTACTTATGGAATAGAGTTCACTTTTTTTTTTACTTTGGGTGAGACAAGCAACATGTATAGGTCCCATCAGTAATTTTGCTTTACACACCTTTATTCATTCCATTTTCTAATTTTTCTGTAATATAAGTTGTACCGTATATAAATTTAATAGAGTGTTATCCATATGCATAGATATAAACATGAAAAAATTAAACAAAATGTTCCTTGAGTAAAAAAAAATTCTTATCCAAAATAATTTAAATTTCAATTATTAGTTAAAAAAATAGTCATTCAATCATGTTTTCCTAATGGCCTCGAATACGGAGAAAATTCTATTGAGAGCGTCATCTTTTAATAGGCCCTATAATATAATATTCGAATTTTGTCGGGACTTTAATGTGAACACAAAACTTTGGATGGAGAATCTAAAAAAAGAAAGAAGAAGTGCTCTTCTGATCTTACCTTTTTTTTTTCTTAGGTTCTCTTTGGATTAAAAGTCATAAGTAGACGATATTACTTTTTGCTTTTTAGTTGTTTTAAAACTTTTTTGGCCTAAAAAAGGAGTTAATATTTCAAAAGATTACTCAACTTTGAGAATTTATCTAGTAAAGTTACTAAACTTTGTTTTATACCAATAAAATCATTCAAGTTAGGCCTTTGTATCAATAAAATCATTCAACTTAGGCTTTTATATCAATAAAATTACTCAACTAATTTATTATTAAAAAAAATTGACATAGCAAAAGAAATATGTAAATATAAACTCCACAAATAAATAAAACTAAAAAAATTCATCAAAAAGTTTTACGAATAAATTTAACAAGTGAAATAAATATTATAATAATATTATGTACTTAAAATTTAAGATGTATCATGATGGACGTTATCCTACCAATAAATATTATTGATATTATCATAGGCTTAATGACTGCAACAATTTATTTTTATAAGAATTTTTTTCTTTTTTTTAATAATTCAATGACTACAACAACTTAATACTTGCAGTTATTAAGCCAACATCTATATCATTTTTTTATATGATAAAAGTGATGTATTACACAATTATTTGTCATGACAATCTTTTACGGGTCTTTTCCGTCTCTCTTTTTTTTTTTCTTAGGAAAACGCTCATCATAATGCAGTTTAATTATATAATAATATCATAATTTAATTTTCACTAATTAAGTTTATTCATAGAAAATATCTTGATGTTTTTTTTTAAATTTTATTTATTTATTTATGGAGTTCATATTTGCATGACACAAAAAATAATGTATTTATGTTTATTTTTTAATGATAAACTGAGTTGATTGATTTTATTGATACAAATACCTAAATTGAGTGATTTTATTGATATAAAACAAAGTTTAATGACTTTACTACGTAAATTAGGATGAAGGATTTGATGAACAATGATCTAATTGTTGATTTTGAAATGTGGATTGTATTTAAAAAAATATAAATATAATAATGAGCAATTGACATAGGCTTCAACATTCAACCAAAAAACATGATTAATATGATCATGTTCATTTGACTGTTACATTGTTATCTTATGAATTAAAAAGAATCCGCTGCCATGAAAGAAGAAGAAAGAGAATGAGAAAGAAAAATGGAACAATGTGCTATGGAAGAGTTTATAAGCTTCAATTTTAAAATTCGACTCATCTTAAATGTGAATCAGTAAATAGTATATCAAAAGACTTGAAACATTGGGAGGAAGACATATAATTTAGGATTGTTTAGATAATATTTTAGTTGCTCGAAAATTAAAAAAAATCAAACTCGTTGAGAAAGATGAAAAGCCTTCGGTTCTAATTAGGAGATACTGTATAATTAAATATATTTGGCTTATTATGAATATATTTTAATAAAATGATATTACATTTACCAAATATTTTCTTATCACTTTATTAGTTCGTTTAGTGTCAAGAAATAGTAGTAGAAAAGGAAAGAAAGAATATATATAATCAAAAGCAAAAGCAGTTAAATATATAAATATATTATTATATTTTGTTTGATTTTAATAATTTCAAAATCTACAAAATTGATTGATTTTGATTTAAAATTATAAATTGATCCAAATCGAATTGTAAACAATCCTAACGTTATGCGAAGTTCAAATTTACCCCGTAATGCATGTGATATAATTATCTCCTATCGCATTGCACCATTTGTAATCCCTACCAGGGATAGAGAAAAATAATAATAGTCGAAATAGGAAAATGCAAATTCTAAAACACACGAAGATTCATCAATATTTTTCAATAGAATAAGAATGAATTAAAAAAAAGGATAAGGGCATTATATTCTTTCACCAATATCTTCTTTTTGGCTTGTAGTTATGCTACTGAAGTGAAATATATATGTTAAAAAACAATGAATTATACCCATGTGTCGATCATTTAAGTTTACATCTAACATAATTGGTTATTATCATAACATTAAAAGATAGTTCCATTTCTTTGTTAATAATAATAATTTAACTGACCAACAAGAGTTGTGGTGGAGTGGTAAGTACTCCTTCATTCTTAACCAAGAGATCTCGAATTCGAGCGCGAATCCAGATTTAGTCGGTCCTCAATGTGGTCAGATGAATTTGATTGCACATATAAGGATGTGTGCAATGTATAATCACGACTTTAAAATATGTCTTTTATAGACATGCACATAAATCACATTGTTAGGATAATATAAATAGTACATTGTTGTAGTAGTTTTACTCTATTAAAATTCATGTTGATAGTATATCTCTTAGAGAGTGTGTATTTAACTATAGATTTGTGTAACATGATCTCTATATAACTCCTCCGTTAAATACAAACGAGTTTTACCATATTTACGAAGACACATGTTTTGCAATGACACTTCCCTCAATTATCAATATATATCACCTCGCAAACCCCTTACCAAAATTTATGTATTGATAATGGGACAAGTTTGACAATTTCTCATTTTGGTCATTCTACCTTACTTACAGTTAGTCAACCTTTACATCTATCTAAAGTATTATTAGTGCTTGAAATTATCAAAAAATTGCTTAGCGTGACAACTTTTATTTCTCATATAATGTTATATATATTTGGATTTCACCCCTATTTTTGTCTTGTGAAGAATAGGGCAACGAAGAAATTAAAGTACTATTGCGTGGGACTCTTGAGCATGACCTTTATCGCCTCCTTGCTGCCTAACCACTCAATCAACCCTCTTCCTCAAATAAATTATAGGCTTTTCATGTTTCCAAGTCATCTTTTGATTTACATATATATCATTCTTTTAATTTTTTTTAACACTACATCAATATTTATTTTAGAGTTCAACAAATTCTGATTCACATCTAAAACTTGTTTAAAATATACTGTTTCCTAAAAATAAACGCTCAATATATGCTCATTTATTATTGCACCCGCACAAATTTAAATAGTATTTCATCAAAAGACTGAAACTAATAATAATAATAATGAAGTAATAAATATAATAATAATAATGATAAATAAATTAAAAATAGTAAAAAATATATAAAACTAACTTCATCATAATATTATTGGAAAAAATATCAAATAGCTGAATTTATCAAAATATGACAAGAAAAAAACAAGTTTAAAGTCTTGACTTGCAAGATATATACAGTCATATAGAAAAAGTTTGGCTAATCAATTCTCCAAGGAAAACAACAGATATTAATGACATAAATGCAAAATCAACTCTCAAAACAAGACCATCAATACTATTGGTAAAAGCATTATATCTATCTAAAATAATATAAGGACAAAAAATTGATTATATGTATTCGCATTACTTATAAGCATAATTTTCAAAATAATCAGCTGCAAGTCGGAAAAGGCTCAAAAATATCTTTTAAGATATTAGAAATAGTTTTAAAATATTTTCCTTCCATTTATTGATTTAAAAATGTCCTCAACATTTCTTTTAAGCTCAAAAATATCTTTTGCAATTGCAGAAGCCAAAGCAAAAAGCCAAAGCCAACAGAATAGGACTCCCATAATTAAACAATTGCATAAGCCAAGAGAACAGGATTCCCATAATCTTAAAAATCATGTTCCAAATATGAGTATTAAATTTGGGTGTTGGGTCTTTTTATTTGATAAAACATGAATTGGATCAATGAAAATTGACCACTTGTTTAGTTAAATTCCATCTCAGATTTCTGTTAACAAAAATGTATTTTTGAGCCTAAAATATATATATATTTTAAAGGCATAATACATAAACATGACTTTTAACTTGATTTTAACGGTCAACTATGACATTTAATTTTGGGTGTGCATAAGTAGGCACTTAAACTTGTATAAAATTGAACAAATAGACACATATATAACACCCTACATGACAATTGTGTGTCCTACGTGGCGTTCTATGTGTATTATGCCATGTAGGACACATGTGTCTACTAGTTTAATTTTATATAAGTTTAAGTGTCTATTTGTATATACTCAAAGTTTGAGGGCATAGTTGTTCACTGAAGTCAGAGTCATGTTTATGTATTATGTCTATTTTAAAACTGTTTCTAATAGGTTAAAAGGACTTTTTGAACTTTTTCCATGACAAACCAATAGTTTTAGAGTTATATAGTAACTCAATCTCTGAGGCAAACAAAATTAATATTTCAACTCACATTTTGTAGACAAAAACAAAAAATTAGTCAACTCTTTTTTTTCTTTCTTAATATATATAAGGACATATTTATAGTAGGAATTGAATAAATAAAAAAGAATGAGGGGGATATTAATGTATAAGAAAGAGAAGAAGAAGAAGGTGGCAGAGTCCGGCGGCCATTGGTGGTCGGGCAAAATTAATACTAGTAATGTTGTATGATAATTAATGGAGAAGGAGATGGAGATGGATAGAGCGTATTCCATGGATGATAAAAGCTCTCATTATAGTATTACTAGTGCCATTCTTCCTTCTCTTGGTGCCCATACTAATTGCAAAACCAAACTCCGTCGCTACATCATCTCCCCTTCTAATCCCCGTTACAGGTATCCAAATATTATACATTCTCTCAATTGATTT